GCCTTCTCTCGTACAGCCGAGGGAATCACCTAGACCCATTCGCTGGGCTGCTCCCTCTCCTATGCTTCCTAATGTCCATAATAATATGGGAGCAGATGGGGGCGGGGGTTAAAAGTACTTCTGAACTCACCTAGTCAGCCTACTCCAAGGCAGTCATTTGTACTGGCTTCTATTAAGTACCAGGCAATGATTGTTCGTATGTTCTGCTGTTTATTATGCCTCTTGAGTTGATTGACATTTACCCTTTCCATGCCAGAAGGCTAGTCTGCCAACAGTAACCAGTAACTGCAGTTCCACAATGGCAGCTCCATTTCAGTGAGACCAAGGGGACAAAGGCTTTCACTTGTCTACACATTTCTAGCAAAGGAAAGATTTTCAAATGCGGGTGCCTAAAGTTAGGCACATAAGTGGCTTGATTTTCAGAGGTGCTGGATACCTGTAGCCCCTACTCATTTCAATGGGAGATGTTTTGAAAAATCAAGCCACTTATACCAGGGTGCCTAAATACTAATTTAGGTCCTGAACTTTAGATACCCACACTGGAAACATTAGTCCACACAGTTAAGTGCCTGTAATCTTGCACTTTTAAAACATGGCTAGGTGCAATCTGTAGTCAGCTAGCTAAAACTCACATTTAAATATTGAGTATTATGTTTTTAATGGTCTCAAAAGAACAGCGAGCAAGATCAATAAGGTAGGCCCTTTCAAAACTTTGTATTGTTTCTCATTTTTCATTTTGGCAAGGGTGGTGATGAATGAAAGGTGGTAAGGGACAAACATCCTTAAACCATTTTAATCATGGTGTCAATGGTATTAGGCGCTCTAACCATAGAAATTCCTGCTCACGTGCACAAAGGCTGCACTGAGATAGGTAAGCAGGCAACGAGAGGTTCTCTTTCTTGACGTACTGGCAGGAATTATGAGGATTTTCCACCTTGTTCTAAGACAAGTAGGGATCATCTGGCCTGCTCTTGCCTGTGAGGTACAGAGTGCGCAGCTGATGCCATAATACATTTTTTCTGTACAAAGCTGGTTTCTTGCTGGCATTGCTCACAACTGGTTTCCTGCAAACCTAAAGAATCCGTAGGGAGCAATGATGTGGTATATATCCCCGGCTTGAACTAAAAGAGCTGATGAGAGCTCAACTAAGGCACCTGGAGGCTGGGCCAGGCCCAGCTGTTGATGAAGCCCAGCTGAGGGAGATGCTGGGTCGTGTGAGCATAAAGGGAGGAAGCCCAGAGGAGATGGGACTGCTGGGAGTAAAGGGAAGAACTCTACATTGGTTGTCAGAGCATGGAGGAAAGGCCAGAATACAGAGTGCCCAGGAAAGGCCTGTGGGAAAGGGCCTGAAGGAAGGTCAAGGGAGGCAGTAGATAGTAGATAATCACCGCAAGGTCCTGGGACTGGAACCCAGTAGACAGGGAGAGCCTGGGCTCTCCTACCTGCCACTGGGAAAGAAGATGCAGAAACATCCTGATACAAGGGGGAGAAGGACTAGTGAGTTTGGAGCCAGGCCTCTAGGGAGAAAACCCTGGGAGGTGCTCCTCTGCTC